GCAAACCAGCAGGGGCGGAGCAGGCTGGGCACAGCTACAGGGCTGATGGATCTCACGCTTCCAGCACAGGTGCAGCCTCTGCCAATTAACCACGGTCAAAGGGGAAGAACAAATCTCCTGCAGAGACTGTTTCTCTTTGGCAGTCTCAGACTCAGTCTACCCTCCTATGAGTTCAGGATTCTTCAGTTGTGCCCAGGTTTCAGGGTGTTTTTCTCTCTCCATTTCCCTAAGATGGGATCTGCCAGGCATAGAACAGTCCTAGGACTTGCAAGAAAACTTTACCGGCCCTTGCATTTGATACCTATTACCTTATTATGGCTAAAGAAGCTTCTGTTTTGGTTGAAGATTTAAAGTCCTTAGTGTAGTAAATCATCACTTCTATTAGTCAAAGATGCAATGACCCATCAGAGCAAGGGACAAAACAAATTAGCCTGTGGGTGACATGCTTGGTAAGGACGAGTCTGTCACTGAGTGTCTGCCCCACTCACCTGTCCTCTCCAGCTATGTGTCTGTCCTCCGTGTCTGAATGCTCTTCCCACCATTTCCAATTAGACCATTAGAGGCAGGGATCTTTTTTCACTCTGATTGGTTCATTAACTTTCTTTCTGTGTCTTTCCCCATACCCATGTTCCCTGCGCTCCTTAAATCATTGCTTTTGCCTTCATGTTCCTTAACCTAAACTATTCCCATCAGAAGCTAAGGTTTTAAGACTAAGTGATTATGTGTAAGTCTGAAACCTTTGTATTCAGTGTATGGATGTTCCTAAGAGATCACAGTTCTCAATGGCTGGGTTGGGAGTCAAGTTGGCTGAAGAGATATCCCAACAGGAATGTGAAGGTGGAGAGCCAGGTTTGGGTAAGATAGTGGGTGATGAGCAACCTCCAGGAAAAAAGTGTCAGTGCACAGTGTCAGTGCACAATTCAGAGAAATGCTCCTGCTACTGTGAAATTTACAATACAAAGTGTGAGGTCACTCATCTTGTGCTTAATGGGAATGTGACTTGCTCCATCTCTCTCTGCTACCAGCTATGCTTTTCATGGAAAGCATCAGCCTCTGAATTAAATACCACATTCAAAGTGCTCCAACCACAGACAACATATGAGCCTTAGGAAAGTTAATGCTCCTCTCTGTGTATAAATTCTTCAACCCTAAGTCAGGGAACATTTTAAATCCTATCATGTAATTTCCTATAAATATTTTAAGAAGTAATACTAAGCGCACAGACCAATAACCAAAGCTTAATAACAAATAATTGTTAGATATAATTATTACAATTTTCAATGACTACTTTATGTTATGAATGCATGTTTATGTCACCCCAAAATTCATACATTGAAAACCTAACTCTCAGAGGGGTGGTTCTAGGAGCTATGTTCTTAGGAAAGCAGTTTTAGGTTTAGATGAGCTCATGAGGATGAAGCCTCCATGGTGGGATTAGCATCTTAAAGAAAGAAAGAGAATAAAATCGTCTCTGCTGGCCATGTGGGGATATGGTGAGAAGGCCGCTGTCTGGGAGCCAGGAATAGGGCGCACAGCGGACACTTGATGGCTGGCACCTTGATCTTGGACTTGAAATCTCCAAAACTATTAGGATTAACAGTCTATGGTTTAAGCCCCACATTCTATGTTATTTTTTGAACCAATCAACCTGTACGCCAGTTCCTGTATGCAAAAATAAATAAATCTTTAAAAAAAATCTAAACTTTATGTTTCATACACAGCAGTTTAAGCATTAAAAGCTGTCCCAGTATAAGGGGCCTCCCCGGTGGCGCAGCGGTAGAGCGCTGGGGGTTGCGAAGCTGCCCGCAGCCTCCGCGGCGCCGGTTCGATTCCCGGCTGCTCCCCGGCCACCGGAGGAGGGCCCCACATGGCGCGCAGACCCCTCCTGCCGCCCGCTGCCCCCCTCAGCAGTGTACCTCGGTCCTTCTGCCTGCTCTGCTCCCCGCTCTGGCTCTGGTGAATTCTCTCACCCTCCCGCGCTTTTGACTGTACCCAGTGCATGTATAAACAAAACAAATGAATAAATAAATAAATAAAACATGCCTCTATAAAAAAAAAAGCTGTCCCAGTATGAAGCAGGTTTGATCTTTTCTATATCAAGTGGATTCTTTGTCTTTGTTCTTAGAAAAGACAATACACATTTGAGCCTCATCAGAGGTGCTCCAAGTCAACTGGACCCTTCTAACAAAAGGACAGGAAATTAAATGTGTACATGAGGGAAGGCAAGTGTATATGGTCATTCATGAGCTCCCTATGGCCTGAAGGAATGAAAGATGCCGGGGCGCATGGACAACTGAACCTGCTTCTTGAAGATCCTGTGAGCATCTCTTCTCTCAAGCACACTCGCAGTTGCCTTTTTTTTTTTTTTAAAGATTTATTTATTTGTACAAGAACCAGGGTACCAGCCAGATGTGTGAGAGTGTGAGAGACAGAGGGGAACAAAACAGACTGACTGAAATACACTGCTGAGGGGAGCAGCAGGCGAGACAGAAGAGGTCTGCCACGCCATGTGGGTTGCTCCGCGTGGGGATGGAACCGGCATTGCAGAGGCTGCGGATAGCTTCATAGCACTGCACTTAACCGCCTGCGCCACCAGGAAGGCCCCGCAGTTGCCTTTGAGGATTGTTCGCTTTTTTTTTTTTTTGATTGCAAATGTATCTATTACAATAAATAAAGGATTTTAAAATCTATTCTTCTATCTACAAGGATTATTCAACTGCTGATCTGTCTTTTTTTAATATTTTATTTTCTATAATTCTTACATCATTTTTCGTTTTTGCACAATGTATGCATTTTCATTTTGGCTACATTCCCCATACAATTGCAGCCCCCTTATTTTGACACTAATCCTTCCTCTCCCCGCACCCCTCCCCCCCTCCCTCCCGCCCCCGTAGTATGTCTTTGGTTTATAGTTGCTTGTTGATTTTGATTTTTTCTTTATTATGGTTAGTCTTTTTCCTGGCCACTTATTTAGGTTTACTAAATTCCTGCTGTGAGTGAGACCATCAGTATTTTTCTTTTTCTTTCTGGCTTATTTCGCTGGGCATGATCCCTTCCACTCCTAGCTATTTACCCAAATTACACAGAAACATTAGTTCCAAAGGGCACCTGCGCCACTATGTTTATCGCAGAACTATTTACAATAGCTAAGCTATGGAAACAACCCAAATGCCCAAAAATAGATGACTGGATCAAGAAGATGTGGTACATATACACAATGGAATATTGCTCAGCAATCGAAAGAGATAAACTCATGCAGTTTGCAGCAACGTGGATGATGCTTGCTTACTTTTTATGTTGGACTCCGACTTTCCCAATGAGCTGACCCTGTCATCATTTTGACCATCTCTCCAGTAGGGGGGCGATGCTAACATATATCTGTCCAGCCAAGGTTCTCCAGCACTAGTGACACAGTCTCCATGTAAAGTTCCTAAGTTCTGGTTCATCTGGCATCCAAGAGGACTTTTGAACTTTTTATTCACTTCTGTAGAGTTGGTGTGAAATGAATTTCACCTTCCAAGTCACACTACAGAGGCAATGATGTCATTCACATGTTCTATTGATATCCTGAATGTATTTAATTCTTATTCAACTTTTTATATCTTTTCACTTTTTTTCTCTTATACTTAGCCAAACACTTAGAATCAAAATGAATTATCACCAGTTCTTCTCCTCTAGGACTTGGCAGGCATCTGGACACTTATGCTATTCAACCTGCAACTTCTGTTGTGCCAGCTGTTTTAAGATGCCTGTGCTACCTTCTGAATTCAAAGGGGTGAAAAAAAATCACTGCCACAGGGAGATCACAACTGGAGGCGCTCAGCCTGGGTGCTGAGATGATCCAAAGCAGCCCGCAGTCACCATCTTTAGGTCGGATGGAAGTACTGGAGGCAGCAGTACTGGGTGGGCAGTGGTGCCCGACAGTCAGGAACAGTTGCTGCTCTCAGAGGTGCCCTGGCACAGAGTGCTGGTCACTCGTCAACAATGCTGGCAGCACTGGCTGTGCTGCTGGTCAGTACCAGTCACCAGGAGGTGGCAGTGTTGGAAAATACCGGTATACAGCTCTTTGTGAGTTGCTGACCCACACTAACAAGAAAGAGCTATGAGACAACAGGCTCCAGGTCTTTGGTGCTCTGTGCAGGCAGTGTCAGAGGCAAGCCAGAGGTGCTGTGGACAGACAGGCATCCGTGAACCCCTTTGGCTTCTCTTCTTTCTCCAGGGGTCAGGCACAGAGAGAGTCAGTGTCTCTTCTATCCATGGAGGCCAGGAACAGCATCTTCCCAGACCCTGAATGTCTGAGAGTCATGTTGCATTTTACATAAAGGTCTTTATACCATTTTGAGCTAATTTGGGTGACTGGTACAGAGTCTGTTTCTATATGCTTTCTTTTTTTCTCCCTTCCTTTCTACCTCTGTGCTTGGCCTGTGGATTTGTTCAATGATGGACCCACCTTAAGAACATTCAGGTGAGGAGGAGCCACGTGTCCCAGGGGCTCAAGGAGGCAGTCATAGGACAGAGGGGGCCCTGGTGAGGTGCTCCAGGCAGGGGAGAGCAGCAGCATCCTGACCCTTGGGCTTCCTGGACAGACCAGAAAGGTCTGAGGCCTACCCAGTAAGGCAGCCTATATCTCTGTGACAGCTGTACTCTGACTTTTGGTGGGGCAACAAGAGTCCTCCATTTTTACCATCTGCTTCCCTTTGTCTCACACTCCTTAGATTTTGCATGGCTTTCATTTACACTCAAATTCATGTGCTAAAAATTAAAACCCCACTTTCACTATTTAAGTAACTTCTGTATGAGCCTCTAGGGAGGCCATAAGCAAGATCTGAGAAACAGTCCCTAGTCAGAGTTCAAATCAAGTAAAGAAGTTTTTACACTTGAAAACATTAAGACTTTCAAATAGAGGCACAGCTGTGAAAGTAGCCACCATAGCATCTGTTTATAAAGGAAGCTGCTGCTGTCACCACATAAACACTGATGGTCTCCCAGAGGTTTTTGTATCACATCAAATCACTGTGGAACCCACTAGAACCCTGCTGACAGTAGTAAGTGGCAGCATCTTCAGGCTCCAGGCTGCTGATGGTGAGAGTAAAGTCTGTCCCATACCCGCTGCCACTGAATCGGGCTGGGATGTCATTGAGCCTGTTAGTTGCACCATAGATGAGGAGCCTGGGAGTCTGTACAGGTTTCTGCTGGTACCAGGCTAAGTAGTTGCTAACGCTCTGACTGGCCTTGCAGGTGATCCTGGCTGTTTCTCCTGGAGACAATGATAGTGAGGCTGGAGTCTGTGTCATCACAATTTCTCCAGTGGTACCTGAAATAGCAAACAAAACACAGAAGTCATCCTCATAATCTCTGTCTTCACCACTGTCTCCCCAGCACAGCAGGAAGGCTGATCAACACTGAGCTCTCATTATTGTCTTGCAGAGCAAAGAGCCAGGTCCTGGGAATCCACAACCCAAAGTGTCCTCTGAGGAGCAGAACCATCCCAGGTGCCCCCACCTGGGAACCAGAGCAGCAGGAGGCAGAGAAGCTGTGCTGGGGCTTCCATGGTCCTCTGTGTCCTGGCTGAGGCAGGTCTTGCCCAGAGCCTGTCAGCACTGATAAGGGCTCTGGGCACAGGGCAGCCTGAGGGGATGCAAAGCAGCGGGGGTGGGGCAAACCCGGCCCCCAGCTGCAGAGACCAGAGGCCTCCCCTTCTCTACAATTGAGCAGCCACCCTCACATTATATTCCAGGCTCACATAAGGGTGTTGGGTACAGACCTGAACAAATAGATGCCTTTTCTGCATTTCTCCTTTGTCCCCCAATACGTCTGGACATCTCCCTTGGTACATGACTGGATAGGGTTGGAGTAAAGAGTTGGTCAGCAATGATCTTCCTGACACACCCTTCCTTTGCTCATCAGTGACCTTTCCTGAGGGCCCATGATTTGCCTCATTCTTTGTAGGAATCCACAGAGACACAAACACTGAGTTAGTTTCGGCAACATGGGTGCAGGCACAGTCACCATCGCACAGATGAGCAGGACCAGGCTAGAGTCCCCAGGGTACTGACACCATTTCCCTGAAGACAAGGAGTGGTGCTGATAGCCAGGGTGAGGGGGTGGAGGAGATAGGGTTTCTAATGCTGGGTGATCTTGCCTTCTCCATGCCCCCCTCCCTCCGCATTCTGCATGGGGCATCCACCTCACCAGACTCAGCTCCCTGTTCTTAAAAATTTGAGAAACTTCTTTCACAGGCCTGATTGAGATGGAATCCAATTGGAGGTTTCCTTGTGTTTCTCAGAATTGTGCACATGTCGGGGTGACTGTTGAACCCAGAATCTTTTCTCCAAAGGACTGAGGACTCCTTGGGTCACATGCTCAGACTCGAATGCTCATTCCTCTAAAACTTCTGCTTCCCAAAGACTGATAGCATCTTTTGCATCCCCTTCCTTGATCTCCATGGCAATGCAACACTTTGCAAAAGCAACTCCACATGACAAGTCACCTCTATATACACACCGAGGGTGAGACCTTCCCCCACAGCCATCATCGACCGTTTAATTTGGCTGGTTTCGAAATCTAATCATCTGGGAGAGCCACTTACTGGCTGTGTGATGTCAATCACTTCTCATCAGTCTCCTTGCCTCAGTTTCCATGTTTGTGGAAATAACTGTAGCTACATCGTTTATGTATGTTGGACGATCATTGTATCTGTAGGCAGGGACCAGTGCTGCCTTTCACCAGCACAGTCACAAATCCTTTAAGCCTAATTGGTTTTCTGAGCTCAGTTCTCCGATGTAGCTTCAAGACCCTGCAGACTTTTCCACTGCATTTCCTCCCAGGCCCATTATCAAAAGCTTTCCTAGGAAAGGCTTTGTCATTCATATGTTATATTGCTGCTCTTCTTGTTATTTAATTCTTATTCAATGTTTTACATCTGTTCACTTTTAAATCAGTAAAAATTACCACCATTTATTTGGGGCCTGCTCCAGCATATTGTTTTCAAAATTTTTCTGTCATTTTCAATGTCACACTAAGAAGTATGTTCTTTATGGTAGTGTTTTGTAAAAGGGGAAAACGTATGAATTCCTGGATCAAGAATTAATGTGTGCAATGACTAAAATTTTTAGTGACATATACTAGAATAATTGAATAAATGAGGGTAAATGAGAGTAGAATTAATAATCCCAGGTTTCATTTGGAGTCACGACAATTATTGTTTCTTATTTTGCTTTAAGTTCCTTCCTTTAGTTCTTTTTCTATGTGGATGCCCAGTTTTTCCAGCAACATTTGCTGAGAGCTTGTCTTTGCCCCATTGTTTTTCCTTTGTTGCTTTATCAAAGAGCAGTTGACTCTGATGTTCATTGGACTGTATTTTGGGGTTCTTTTTTGCAATCCACTGACTAGTCTATTACTTTTTCAACACCATGCTGACTAATTATTGTGGTTTTATAGTAAGTGTTGAAATCAAGTGCGTGTACACAGTTTTGACTTTCATCTTGGTCATTCCTCATGTTTCAAAAAACATTTACTCATTTAATTTTTGAGGTATTTTTATTGTGTCATTAACAAATATTTTTAATGTTTTATTATCTCAAAAAAGTGTTTTCTTATTTAATTTTGCGTTAATCGAAAAGTAACTCTGGGGGCCTCCCTGGTGGTGCAAGGGGTTAAGACACAGCACCATGAAGCTATCTGCAGTCACTACAGTACAAGTTCAATCCCTGGCCAGGGAGCTACCCACAAAGTATGGCAGACCTCTCCTGTCTCGCCCGCTGCTTCCCTCAGCAGTGCATATCAGTCAGTCTGCCTGTTCTGCTCCCCACTCTGTCTCTGGTGAATCTGTTACCGAACGCCGGCCTCAGTTTCCCTCAGCCAATAAAAGGAAACTAAGTTTGAGGAAAAGGAAAGCGGTTTTATTTGTCGACAAATGAGGAGGGAGGCAGACTCATGTCCGAAAAACCACCGTCCTGCTCTTAGGCAGTGGGCAGGAGTATTTATACAGGGGGAGATGGGTAGGCATCCGTGAAGGGGAGGGGGAAGGGGTCCGCACAGAGACAAGTGGGCGCCAGCTCAACAGGGAGATGGATGGGTGTCAGCTCATTCATCTTAAGGGAAGGGGAAGGTGTCAAGGCACAGAGACGGGTGATCACCAACTTGTTTTCCTTAGGGCGAGGGGGAAGGGTCTACAGGGAAACCGGTGGGCACCAGCTTTTTTTTTTTCTTCCCAAGGGGAGGGGAAGCTGCAACAAATGGGAAAGACAAGTCATCAATCCTGTTAATGCTAGATAAGGGGAATTGCAAAAAATGGGGGAAAGACAAACTTGTTAACTGTATCAAATCCTCTCACCCTCCACATCTCTGGCCTGTACCCCAGCTCTTGTCTGCATAAATAAATCAATGTTTTAAAAAAAAATAAAAGGGAAAAAAGGAAGAAAAAAGAAGTAAAAAAAAAATAACTCTGGCTGTGTCATTTCAACAAACAACTTTCAGTAAAATTTTCTAAAAGACTTCATTGACAAAGACAATATTTTTAGCTGAAACAAACATCCTCTTGAAAATATAGGTTTGAATCATGTAGATCACCTGTTATCAATCACCTCTCATCTTGCTAAAAAGCAGATTCTCACTTCATAAGTCTAGAGTGGGCCTGCTCCTTTATGTTTGTATCAATCATTTTGCAATGACAATGATGATGTTGATGAATTCAGAACAAATTTTGAGCAACGGGTATTTTCACATTGAGGTAAACTGATGCACCATAGACATTTATTTTTTTTTCTCCGATTGCCAAGTGATTTTATTTCATGCAATTTCTGATTTTTTGTTTATAATATTCTCAATATTGTTTTGTTGTTGCTTGCTATGAGCCCAGTCTTGCTAGTGGCAGTTGGGAGCACATCGTGGTATGTTCTAGAGGCTAGTCTCTCAGCGGAAATCTTCTGAATAATGAAACAGAGGCTCTACCAGGCTATCTACTATCAAGCCCTCATAATCTCTTCTAGAAATTCATCTCCAAACATTATGCCTTTGTGACTGCCCTGTGAGTCATTCAATGATGAGACTCAATCATGAGAGGAGGAGCCTCAGTTTCTCAGGGCTCATGAGGCAGACACCGGACAGAGGTTCTATCCTGTGTGAGCTGCTAGGGCCGAGTGGGAGGGAATTAAGGTCCCATGGAGATTCCTTGCTCCTTCTACAAACACTTTACTGTCACCTTCAAAGCAATGGTGCTTCTGAGACAAGTTCTCAGCTGATGGGGCATGAGGAAGTCAGCTGGGCTGCCCAGCCACACCCATCTACTCTCTTGGGTGGTTTTTGTTTAGGCTTGTATCACTGTGGGGGGAAACCATAAGCATGCTGACAGTAATAAATGGCAGCATCTTCAGGCTCCAGGCCGCTAATGGTGAAAGTGTAGTCTGTCCCAGAGCCGCTGCCACTGAACCGGGCTGGGATGCCATTGGGCCTGTTTTTTGTATAATAAATGAGGAGCTTGGGAGCCTGCCCAGGTTTCTGCTGGTACCAGGCTAAGTAGTTGTTAACACCCTGACTGGCCTTGCAGGTGATCCTGGCTGTTTCTCCTGGAGACAATGATAGTGAGGCTGGAGTCTGTGTCATCACAATTTCTCCAGTGGTACCTGAAATAGGAAACAAAACACAAAAGTCACCCTTGTAATCTCTGTCTTCACCACTGTCTCCCCAGACAGCAGGAAGGCTGATCAACACTGAGCTCTCATTATTGTCTTGCAGAGCAAAGAGCCAGGTCATGGGGATCCACAACCCAAAGTGTCCTCTGAGGAATAGAACCATCTCAGGTGCCCTCACCTGGGAGCCAGAGCAGCAGGAAGCAGAGAAGCTGTGCTGGGGCTTCCATGGTCCCCTGTGTCCTGGCTGAGGCAGGTCTTGCCCAGAGCCTGTCAGCACTGATATGGGCTCTGAGCACAGGGCAGCATGGGGGGCATGCAAAGCAGTGGGGGTGGGCCAAACCCGAACCCCAGCTGCAGAGACCAGAGGTTTCCCCTTCTCTACACTTGAGCAGCCACCCTCTCATTATATTCCAGGCTCACATAAGGGTGTTGGGTACAGACCTGAACAAATAGATGCCTTTTCCACATTTCTCCTTTGTCCCCCAATATGTCTGGACATCTCCCTTGGTACATGACTGGATAGGGTTGGAGTAAAGAGTTGATCAGCAATGATCTTCCTGACACACCCTTCCTTTGCTCATCAGTGACCTTTCCTGAGGGCCCATGATTTGCCTCATTCTTTGTAGGAATCCACAGAGACACAAACACTGAGTTAGGTCCGGCAACATGGGTGCAGGGACAGCCACCATCACACAGACGAGCAGGACCAGGCTAGAGTCCCCAGTGTACTGACACCATTTCCCTGAAGACAGGGAGTGGTGCTGAGAGCCGGGGTGAGGGGGTGGAGGGGTTAGGATTTCTAATGCTGGGTGATCTTGCCTTCTCCATGCCCCCCTCCCTCCGCATTCTGCATGGAGCATCCACCTCACCAGACTCAGCTCCCTGTTCTTAAAAATTTGAGAAACTTCTTTCACAGGCC